CACAGAGATATCTGCTATAGAAACAACAAAGCAGGGCACGAGTAATCCAGGTTTATGGAGTGCATGGATGGTGTGACACAGGTGACCAAATAGACTAGAAGGAAAAAAGCTATAACGATCTGATTATTAGAGACATGGAAGAAGTGTTCAGAGCAGCCTTAGTTGCAGTGCCCATAGGATAATGAGAGGCATGAGCATGACAAAAAGCAGGATCGCAACCAAAGATTTCAATAGAGAGAGCAGACTTGGACTGTCTAGGGATCTGCTTAGTAGGGTACCAGTGAAATCAGACCTTAAGAGAACAGGGGTCCACAAGAGCTGGCTGATATTCAAAAATCTCCTCTATGCTCAAAAAGGACTCATCTTGAGAAGTATGAGATCATACATAGGTGGCAAGAGGCTCACATGATAAATAGTGAGATCCTGACTAAAGCATAAAAAGCAAACACATAAGAATTGGAAACAGGTACAAGTGACCCAGAGGGAATATAGAGGCATTACTCAAATACATAGGTACGGGGGTAAGCAAAGCAAAGCACATTTTTTGAATCAGTAAGATGACTTTCTACATCAGCATCAAAAAATTAAAAAAAAAATTAAACATTTTTTAAAAAATTTAAAAAGATGACCAGAGAAGATGTGAGCCTGCTACTTAACAGGGCAGACTTCGTGACAAAAGTCATCTTATGGCTGAGGTATTCCGTGTCCTATTCACCTGCCTATACTGATAAAAGCTGATATTAAGGAATCACAGGCCCTGAGACACATGGAAGGTCTAGAGCAATCAAAGCTTACCTCTGGTACAGGAAGATACAGGGATGGGATTATTTAAACAAAATGGGTACACACAAGTTCTTGGGAACTGACAACTTGGAAATGATTTTCAAACATATGAAAGACAAGAAGACGATCAGAAGTTAGATTTATGAAGACAAAATCATGCCTGACTAATCTCATAGCCCTCTGTGAGATTATTATGTCTGTGGATGATGGAAGATCGAGCTAGTTAAATGTACAGGGAGGTGGACTGACAGCAGGCTGAAGAGCCAGGTTCAGTGGTGTGGCCAAAGGCAGAAAGTCCACTTGGAGGACAGTCACCAGCTGAATACTCCAGAAATCAATATTCAGGCAAATACTGATCAACGTCTTTACTCGTGACCTTGATAATGGAACAGACCACATCCTCAGTAAGTCTACAAAGAACACAAAACTGGGAGGAATGGTTGATAATGCCAGAAGGTAAATCCCTTCAGAAGATCTCAGCAGGCTGGAACAATGAGTAGACGGGATCTTCATGAAATTCAAATAATACAAGCTACAGAACTTCAGGCTTCTGCAGAGGTCCACACAAGCACGGATTTTACATAAGTTTGGAATTTCCCTCCCTGGGTTCTGAAGACCTAGTTGCTTTTTGTCTCTTTTTTTGCTTAAATTCTTCCTGCTGCCACTCATCTTCCATGCAACATCAAGAGAATCGCATTAATAGGTATGGGGTTGAAATCTAATGGTATGATGTTTGGTTCACAACAACTATGAGTCAGCATTTGATGCAAGTAAATGAATTGGAAATTCACAAGTTCTTTACCTTTGCCAGCCTATATCATCTGTGTGGTGAAAGAAGATACTAAAAGGCCTCTTTGTAAGAGAAGACAAATATATAAGGAAAAAAAAGAGGGCCTAGAGATAAAGCTGACTACAACAATTAAGTGTAAAGGGACTTTTATTCAAGTGAGGGATTAGAAGTCCCCTGGATTCTTAAATCTCACCTGTAAGAAGCAAATTCTACCATGGTTAGTTGAAATTCTGCAGACACCAGTACATGCAAGGAATAAATAGAAAGTAAACTAATGAAAAAGAAGCTGCACACATTTTGTCAGGTAAAAAACACAGCATATACCGACTTTTTAAACATAGTTACATACAGGTAAGACCTTACCTTTCAATATCACATAGAAATCAACTCATTTTCATGCACCATAAAACATACTTGCTACAAAATTTTTGGCACCAAATGTTAACAATAAGAAGGGAAAATCTAGGATGTTAATCCCCCAGACTTCACACAATTTAAAGTAAACAGAATAGTTGTGGTTATCTGCACATCCATCATATCCATCTATGGGTGCATCTACTGAAACTCCATGCAAAAAGGAAAATAGAGTCAGAGCAGTATTTCAGTAATTGATTTCTAAGGCATTCAACTGAGAGGGGTACAAGTAGAGTTTTGCTACGAACTTTAAGTCATCTGCACACTACCTATACACAATTTGTTGTTATTTAGAATCAATATACTGACAATTTCTCCCATTAAACTTACACAAAAACAAGCCATGAGCTACACAGTGTATCCTCAAAGCACTGAGAGCCAGAGCAGGAAGACACAAAGACTGGACAGAGAACAAGAGGCTGAAGTAGCTCTGAAGTGAATGTGCCACTGTTTTCCCAACACACAAGTTACAGTATGGGTAGCTAATCCCTATTTCTCCTCAAAACAGACAGGAATGCATACTGGATAATTTGTTCCTACTGATGATATCATTTTGTTAAGTTTACTGTTTTTAATGACTAAGTTTCAGCCTTCTCTCACTTTCTCCCATGTAGAAGACTAGAACAGCCTCCCAGTGACCTATTTTATGAGTCATAATCTTCACTATTTATGATTCAGAAAAAAGTCTTCTCTGACAGTATTTCCCAGACTACCGTGGGCTCATTCCAAGAACCAATTTCATCTTCATTGGTTTCCTGTAGGAAACCAGACCAACTTCCTATTATTTTGTTTTCCTTCATTTCAGCATGGCTCACATAAAACTAACTGGAAGCGAGAGCAATTTAAAAAAAAAAACTTTATTCTACATAAACACATGCCAACATAAACAGCACCAAAAAATACTGAAGACGTCACTGGTTCTAAGTGACCAGAATGTGAAGTAAGCTAAGATTAGTAGTCTTTTTTTCTTCCTTCTCTAAACATGTTGCACACAGGCAAAAGTGGTTCATTTACATCAGCAAAGTATAATGGCAAGAAATGTTAAGTCCTCTGGGAAAGTCCTTCACTCTTAACAAGCAGCCAAGTTCTAACCCCTCTCTTCTAATCCTGGGAATTGTTTTCAAATGGTGAATGCTGTTGGACTGTCTAGAAACATGCAAATGTGGCACTTAGGGACATGGTTTACTGGACACAGTGGTGATGGGTTGACAGTTGGACTTGACAATCTTAAAGGTCTTTTCCAACTTCATAAAATCTATGATTTTTAATACATATTTTAAGTCCTATCAAAAGCCTAGTGAAGTCCACAGTCATTTTAATTAGGCCAGGGGTACTTTGATTATTTCCCCATATTTCCCCAAGCTGCAACAACAGAACTATTATTGGAGATAATTACGAAGCACAATAAGCAAGCACCTCCTCCTTAAAGATGTCCCCAACAAGGCTTCACCTAAGTACAGTAGGGCTTCTTAGCATTGCTTAAGCATTGGTCTGCTGCATTCATGCTAGCTTATGAGATAGCTTCTTCAGGTCTCCCTCACTGTGCTCCATGGCACTTTAGAGTTCCAAAAGCTAAGAGTCAGCATCAGATCTGCATAGGCTCGCTGCATGAACTTTGTTCAATACCTAAGGAATCAACTTTCCCAGAGCCCATGTCAGTATTATCTAAGAATCTACTGCAGCCTCACTACCACCATCATCCCTTCACTACCTCTCAGAGCTGTGATTTAAGCTGCCAGTAAATGCAATAAGCACATGGAGATAGCATAGTTCTAGACCCATTCCCTAGGGGACACAAGCCAATTCCATGGAGGTTGTTAACTGCTGAAATGGTTTAAGACATGAAGCACTGAAACATCTGAACTTGGTCTGCAAATACCTGGAACGATTTGCCATTCAATTCTACAAAGCAGCAGCTAAAATGCCTTCTGAACCAGAGCTGCCCTTAGAACCATGTTAGACTTGTTCTTACAGTGCTGTACCCAATCTAAAAACCCTAACCGGACTCACACATAGCATAGAGCAAACTGCCAACTCAATCACACAAGCAATTCAAAGATTATTCCCATTTCATCTTTATATTCTCCTGTCTGCCTTATCAATAGCTGGAGTCTTTCATCATGATTTCCTCATAGAACTTTGCACTGATAGGAGCAACAGATGGCTTTCTATAGGAAAGCTGATTTATAAAACCAAACTGGTTTTCATTAAACTTAAATGCTCCCTCAATTCTAACCTCAAGAGAAGCTAGGGAATATTACTGCTGAGGAACACTTTCACATTGCACACACTAAGGAAAGGGCATAAGGCTAACAGTTTACTTGGCCACCAGTTTTTGTTTGTAATCATGGCAGGGAGTATAAATGAGATTTTGGCAAGTAAACAAAGTTCACCTGCCAGTGAATTGAGCTGAACATAAAACAATACAGCTTAACATACATATGTATAACACAAATTAAAGTTATCTGTTCTATTAAACATGCTCCAATATAACACAGCAATTTTTTGCCAAGGTGAAGTCTTTGCAGTTTCAGTTTCTTTAACTTGATTTTCTAACAAAAAAATTAGTAAAGCCATAACCTGTAGCAAAGCCATTTTCTCTATTTAAAGGTCAGACAAAAATACCATCTACATGAAAATCAGTATAAGCAAAGCCTTTCACAAACTTTAATGCAAACGTGTTTATAATTGATGTCTGATGTAACAGTGTACAATTTCTCCACAGGTTTGATCTCCAGTATGCTGCACAGAGAAAGTTATTGCAAACAGTAGAAAAAAATTGATTTCTCAACCTAGAGATCTTGTTGATAATGAAAATTTAAGCTCACCAATTTCCAGTATCTGCTCATGTAGTCAGTCTCCAAACTCATGCCATAACTCAGCACCACAGCAAGTACAATTATTTAGTATTTACCAAAGGCAGAACTTATTAAAACGGTTATATATGTGGCAAGTTAAACAAAAAATATACTGATACATCTCCATCAACACTCACTCATTGTTCTCAGCTCACCTTGACGTGGCTCTGAGCTCCCAGGTTGTATATCTCATTGGGTTTGACTTCATTAATGATCTTCACCAGACAGGTGCTGTCCGTGAGGTCACCATAGTGCAGCTTCATGTCTTCAGAGTTTAAGAACATACAGTTAATACACTTTAATACCAATACAGCATTCTTCATCCAGATTCTATCCCAGGCTTAAAGTTCAAAAACAGTAATTGGAAAAAATGGAGAACACTGGCTAAGTAAGACATTGCTTGTTTTTAACTCTTTACTCACAATATACATTTCTCTACAATAATAAACACTATTTTAGATTCTTTTTAATAATGTGACGTACCTAGCAACCTTTTTTGGCATTTCCTCAATAACTTACAATTTGTTAAGCCAAGTTACATATATTTGACCACTGCCACATACTGAATTTCAGCCATAAGCCACCCAAAAGAGTATTATTTTAGTTCAGGCTTCCAATCTTTCTATTGCAGGCATTTTTAATAACTTAGGCATACATGTAAAATAACGTTGTTACACGTTACTATGTTTATAAATAAGCATACATATAAAAACATAACTAGCAATAAAACATGTTTCATGATACTACACATCTCAGACACAGAAATATAAGTCATGCATGTTATCTTTTCCTGATTTAATTATTTCTAATTTGCATGTAAAAAGGCAGGCAAGAACAAGAGTCCAGTTTCTGTCAAAATACAGCAGGCTGGAATGGCTTATGGACTTATCATAGGTTTCAGACTCTCACCTGTTAAGACCTTATTGAAAAGATAAGTTCACTCTAATAAAACATCTTATTTTTAAGAACACCACACTGCTAACCACATCTATTAAAAATGTTACAAATGTTAATGGAACAGCTGTCACATTTAGAATCACAGAATCACCAAGGTTGGAAAAGACCTCTAATACCATCCAGTCCAACTGCTTACCTATCACCAGTATTTCCCATTTAGATGCCATATTTACATCAATTTTCATTTGATAACGTTACTGCCCTTAGTACATTGATGTTTACACTGCTCCAAGATAAAAAAAAAAAAACAAACCCTTATTCAACACAGTTTAGCTGCCTTCTCATTTGACAATAATCACTCTTCTGGAAGATGCATCATTCACAGATTGAAAGGAGAAGACAATTCCCAAACTAAAATGCAAGGTTTATCACAAGAAACCACAATTTTTAAAACACTGTTCAGATGTGCAAGTTGTGTTTATGAAATTCGGTACATGAAACAAGTTCTGATCACAGACCACAGTGTGCAAAAGATCCCAAACATTTGTACAACCAAAATATTTGGATATTGTTGCTAAACTACAATCCCCAAAATCATCAGCCTCCAGACCACCTTATGAACAGCTGCATTTTTCTTGCCACACTAACAGAGATAACTAGCAAGCACCGCTCCACCATTTTCTCTGATAGTGGTTGCTACTTTCTTCAGGACAACACATAGGTGTTGGCAGAGCAGGGAAGAACTGAAATGCACTGCCCTTTCTGCACCAGAAAAAGTTTCTCCTAGGTCACCTGGCATGTCTTCCTCTTCTTACTTCATCTGGAAGTTAAATGAAGCCTCCCTGACTGCCAGGCCAGACTTTAGGAGAAAATGCTCTGGAGATGATGCTGTTACAACAGGAGGCCCCAGATAGAAGACCTCTCTGAAATAACTGCTACTTCCTCCACTGTTTACATTTTCACATCCTTGAAAAAGAGGTCTTTCGGCTGTCATCTGCTAAGCAGAAAAGATCTACTAGAAACAGAGTTTATTTGGGGCAAATATTCATAAACAGATTAAATACCAACATCTTTGGGTAAGCACTGGTTGATACTGAAATTTTTCCAATCTAAAAGTCTCCTCAGCAAGCAGCAGCTAAAGGAACACATTTTTCCTTCTGTTTTTCTTTTGGGGGGATTCAGAGATTCTCTGTCTATGAAGATCACCTACATCCCATCCTGCAATGTGTAATCAGTTCATGGGAAGAACACAAGGCAAAAAGAAATTAGGTTTGTTCACACCAATCACTTTGCTTCCTCTATTACTGCCTGGAAACTCATTGTTTCAAACCAGTTGCCATAGAGCAGACTTTCCTGAGATTCCAAATCCCATTCTTTCTCCTTCAATTCATATGGCTACAGTTCCTCAGTTAAAGGAAAATGAGATAAGAAGTGGGGTGATATTTAAGGTCTGCTTTCTCTCTTTTCCAATTCTCAAATGCTTGTATACATATCTGCAATATACGTTATCTTCTCAAATGGCTTTCCACATTCATATCTTGTCCTCATAACATACAAACTCCTTTTTGATCTCTTTTGCCTGCTTTTACTTGGTAAGTCAAATTTAAATCACAGGACACAGTTCTTATGTTGTCCTCGTTGGAAACATAGGGTTGAGTATTCTTCAAGAAGATAGTTAAAGTAGCAATGTATAGTAAGCAGAAACTATTCACAGAAAATTCACTCATGTTCTTTAAAAATGAAAGACAAGCAAAGAATTAAGAGAAATCTAAAAGCTGCATTACATGTTACAGTTCAGTAAAGTTAGGCTCTGCTTCATTATGGTTCAAAAGACAAAATTTGCTGACAGCATGGAAATATTTAGAGGTAACACCTTAGACATTCAAGTTTCTTTAAGGCTGTTTCATTCTGCACAACTTTAGAAATATACAATGTGAAGAACTACATGTTCATTCAAAACACTTAATCCTCCAAACTCCTCCTGAACCAACCAACACTACTTCTTATCATTAACTGAAGAGTTAACATCTCCTTACAGTAAAATACCAAGAAATGGCACTAAAATGTAACCATTTCCAGATTATCATCAGTAGCAAAGTAACACAAACCACTGTCAGAAAGTTTCCAGCAACTTCCCAAGAGCAAATCCTTCAGGAAAAATACATAATCATTCCCATGGACGCAGACTTTAAAGGTCCAAGCATTCATCCAGTTGTAAACAGGAACTGATTACATTTTACTTATACTGTCATATAGGCTTTTCCAAACCCTCACCTACATCAGGCACAAAGAAGCTCATGAGAAAAAGAAACTGAGTGCAGAACATCCCTGTTGACAGAGTAGCTTAATATTTTACTCCTCTTAGAAAGACCACGCAATAAGGCTTCTGTTAAACCTGAATTCATCATCCTGATACAAACAAGTTGTTCTAGAAACATGCCATCCAACATGTGACCCTTTTACTATACAGTATTTCGTCCTATGCAAGTGGGACGGATTGCATGAAGGGAGGTCACAAACTAAATAGAAGAGAAAAGCAATTAATCCAAAAAACCTATTTAAGCATGAGATATCGTACTGTTGGTCATGTATAAAAGCCTATTTAAGTGCATCAAGAATGTACTGGTAAAAAAAAAAAAAGTTATAGATAACTGCCTTAAAAAAAAAAAAATCTGAGTGCTCTGAAACCCCAATGCTTTCAACCTCATAAGTATGTTTGGAGGGTCAGCCAATTTGTTATTGCCATGACTTAAAAACTATGTCAGTAATTATGAATAATAGAAAGCGCCTTCCTGTGCTTTTCACTTTTGCCTCTTGTTAACACATATCTATGCTTTTTCACACTTGGATCATAGAAAAGTCACTGATTTTCTGTGAGACAGCAGCTAACAGAAAAGGAAAGCTTAACTGTTCAGTTTTGGAGTGTTTATTTTTGTTCTTTTTTTAATAACTAATCCTAAGTCAAGTACAGCTTAATTGCATTAACTAATCATTATTTTTAAGTCAGAAGAAACAGATTCCCTTCCTGCTCCCAGGAACCTTTTTCCAGCAATAAGGAAACTAAAAAAGCATTAAATATTAAAAAAAAAAAAGTCTTACTTCCTTCAATGTGAGCCTGTGAGTTCTTATAGAGATGCTCAATCCGGCCTGTATTAAAAGAACTAGATCGACGAACAATTCCATGCACCTGGAGATTAAACATGGAAAAATACAAAAGGAAACAGTAAACATAAGAGGTGATTCAATTTTTAAAATATTCTCAACATTAATGCTTTAAGACAAAGGAGAGCCACCCTCTCTCTTTTCAGATACATGCACCTAGTCCCATCAGTGTCCCCATTGTTAAAGGCACACAATTATTCAATTTATAACAAAATACTTCATGATGTGCTCTGATGTTGTCATTTTAGTAGCCTCCAGTGTTTTCACCTTCTGCCTTGTTGACAACCCTGGCAGCCCAGGTACCCCATGTAGTGCAGAAAACACTAAGCTGATCTAGAGCATCACATGTCCTCGTAAATGAAACCCATCAATGTTAGCGGAGTTGGAGAAGCAATTAGTGGATCTCAAGATAATCACTGGTATTTGGTTACAAAGCAGCTTTTCCGGGGCCAAAGTTGATGGGCATGTAAAAAGCAACAGCAAAATTCAGCACCAGGGAAAGGAAAGACGTGGGCAGAAGAAAGAATAGCAGTAGCAAGGTCCAAAGATGCTTTAGAAAACAGCTGTTATTCACTTTCTGGTGACTTGGAAGAACAGACTGAACAGTCAGTCCTATTTTTTGTACCTTGTGAGTCAACGTTCTCAGATGGGTTACAAGACACACAAGCAACTCTAAGACTGAAACACTGGTTGGGAATTTCCCCTAACCAGCCACGATAAATAGGTTGGTGAAAAAGCAGCAGCTCTGACTAATGTTAAAAGAAAGGCCTGTTTGTGCCTAATACATTAGAGAAATTGTTCTGACACAGATTCTGTTTCCTCCTTATGTAAGATAGCCCCATGCCTACTGCCAAACTTCACGTTACCCTTGGTTAACAGCTACAGGAACTGTGCACAAGTGAAGTTAGCATCTGACTGCCCTCCCTTTCATACTGTACCGTATTTCAGAAAGTGAACACTTAAAACTTGACACATCCAACACCTCGTTAAGTTGGGCCACTTCACTCATTCACACTATCTTAAGTTGTGAGAATACACCAGCAAGAAAAGATGATAAGTTTTTGTTTTGTTGCACAGATAGCATGAGCTATTCTTATTTACACAGCAAGAAAATTTTTATTTTCACATAAAACACATTTTATTCCATCTTATGCCTGAAACTTAATGCCACATCAGAACGAGACCAGCTTTATGAACAACGTTTTGGCAATGAGGTCTGTAATTACTGCCAAAGAGCTTCATCCATACAACTTAGATAAATCTATAGCATCAACTTCCTTGCATAAAATCTCTATCACCCAGCTACACTACAGGCTTAAAATACCTTGTTCTAGCATCCAAATGTTGAGCACTCTATAACTGAGCAAGTTATCTACATCTTGAAGATCAATGGGGAAATTAGACACATCCATAAAAATTGATTCCTAAAGAATGTATGTATAAATGCAAGTTTTAAGGAACGCAGTTAAAATCCCTCTCAAAGTAATTTACATAACATTGCAGTTTCTAGGAACACATGGTTTATAGAGAAATACAAAAAATGGCAGCTCCATTATAATATAACTTCTGCAAATGATGTTGGTGATATTTTGGTTACTTAAATGAAACAGCTGTTCTGATGAGCAAGCTAATACTTCAGAAGAATTTGATACTTCAAAACTGTTAAGGAAGCTAAAAAGTATTCCACAATTGTTCTAGAAATATGAGACATTTCAGCCTAAAGCCTGATGAGAGACATCTGATCTCTCAATTACATGATTTAAGTCACCTTGAAGTTAAAGTCCACACAAAAAAATTGACTAAGTCAAACCCTGCCAGCTCAAAGATAAGAGTTCATGCTTGCAAGAGTTTTGTGTCACCTGAATGACTGTGATACCAATGCTTGACAATGAGATATATTAAATGCAATTACAACAAGACTTCAAAATATTTCCTAAAGTAAAACCAGAGGGCCTCATGCATCCATCAAAAACAGGAAAACCCAGAACCCCAGGGTTGTTTTTTTTTTGTTTGTTTGTTTCTTGTTTTCTTTTTAATTAAAGCCTTTCACTCCTTTTTCTGGTACACACATACAAAAGAAAGCAAGCCTGCCAAATGCTTAATCCATGATAGCAATATTACTGTAAATAATGATGAAAGATGCCATTGAGTGCACTGGACAGGTGAAACAAACTCTGCGACAAGCTAAAACATGTGCAGACTGGTAAATCTAGTTAAGAATGAAAGATCTGTGTTTTTCTCAATAGGACTTGATCTTTAGGTAGATCGCAATTAAAACAAGTCACTTTTACTCCAGTGTTCAATTATTCGGGAACAGAGGTCCTTTACTGTGTTCCTAGCTCAGAATTTAAGTAGATGGAGATTTGAGGAACAGAAATGAAGAATCCTGTGCAATCTTTCTGCAATGGAAAGGGCCCATGCATTTCCACATGGAGTCCATAATATTTACTTTTAGCTGCAGCTAGCAGTTCCCAATTTCACTGTGGACTAAGAAACACATACTTTTACCTGGGAGACAGTAGAAGCAACCAGAATAATTCTCTTTCCCCAAGTAGAATGAAGAAATTGCAAAATTCATCAGTTTACAACACTGAAAAACCACACCAGTAAGTAGATCAATCAACAAAGTAGTAGGAGGAATGCAGTGAGAAAAAAAAAAAAAGAGACTAACCACGTGCAAAAGCATGCAAAGTGCAAACCTGATGAGAACAGACTTCTTACCAAGCTATAAAACAGTGTTCTAAAGTAATGTTCTAAGTAATAAGCCAGTGTTGTAGAACGTGTGTTAAATTTTATTGAGCCAGGAAAGGCACTGTGAAGAGATTCATTTGATCATTCATTTCCTTCCTTTTTCTTCCACTGACATTCCTTCTGGAGGAATCTTTCAAGACTAATATGGTGAACCATCAGACAAACCCACAGGAATGTGATTGTTATATTGGTGGTCCACAAAAAAAAATAATAATTGTAATTTAGCTAAAGTTACGCAGAAAAAGAATCTAATTTTGTTTTATTTTAAAAAGATAAATAACGTATAATAAGTAAAAATATAATGAATCCAGGAAAAGCGAGTGGAAAGTTACACTACAGAAAGCCTAAAGTTGTTTGGCTTTTCTTTTTTTTTTTTTTTGCTTAAAAACAAAGAAAGGAAAATACAACGTTTTCATTGAAGTACAACTGCTGAAGAGGGCCTTTTGTGTCAAGAGTGAAAAAAAGAGATCCTCATTCCTTTCTGTGGTACACTGCATCATAAATTATTCCTTAATTCCTTACAGTTTTGGCTTGCACAGGTTGTTGCTTATCTGAGCTGGCGGGAAACACGCTAAGCAGATATACCCCAAGGAGAAGAGGGAATCCACCAGTGGACATTAGATGATAAATAGTACAATAAGCTGGCGTGATTACAGGCCATGTTGCACATTCCTCTCTGGAGTTTTGATTTGTTATCTAGGGTTGAGTGGAAAACATACACAGAGAAGGACAGAAGCAAAGGAAGCTAGAACTGCAGCATCCAAGTGATTCCATCAGGCTGCAGTCAGTCACTGAGTCACTCACCTCATAGCCTTTTTCCAGCAGGAACTCAGCCAAGTACGATCCATCCTGGGAAGAGTAAGATATAGGAAAACGTTAGAAACACAGTGAATGGGCCTGGGAGATTTGGACTGGTTATGGTCCCAAAAAAGGAAGAAAAAATTTTTGCAATGAGTTGGGGTAGCAAGCATATGCTTTGACTTCTCCAGATTTATGCACTGACCTGGAATACTATGGATGCTTTTTGGTTAATTTTAGACTAAGACACAGTATATTTTAAGATAACTTGCTTACAAACACTGGTTCAGAACTCCTGTCTCCATAATGGAACTTGGAAAGAGATTCAAAAGTGTCTAGGGACATCTTTCCAAAATATCTTAACCGCAGTTATTGAATTTGAACTATTTCGGAAATAGGGAAGGAAAAACATTCTAAAAAAGCTTAGCACACTAACAGGACCAATAAGTTTCTGTAGCATCATGTCTCATTTGCATCTCTGCTCGCAGAAGGAGTGAGTGCAACAATCTAAAAGCAGTAATAATTCTGCCTGTTGATTGAGTTTTTCAAAAACATCCCTAGCACATCCTATATTTATACTACAGCATACAGGCCATCTTTACAGTCTGTATATCATTGAGGGTTGAGAGGGCTCCTCTTCTCCTCCTTTTAAATCCTTGTCAAGCTCATATTACTAAACTAACACAAAACAAATACTTCAGAACATATGCTAGTGTGTGTTTTCCTGAAATAAAATGATTTTCCTAACATCACTATTGCCAGGATTACAAATACACTAAGTCAGTATCCTTATAAATCTGTACGTAACACTGCAAAAGTCCAACAGAGCTCATCCATCTGGAATGAGTACTAACCAGCACAGTGAATAATAATCTAAGATCATTCCAGAGTCAACTGACTTGCTTCAGGAATACCACAAAAACATGGAACACCACCTTGACTCAAATGCTTAAGCTATATTACGTGTGTTTGCCTTGACATGATCCTGGCCAGAAAAACTAAAGTAAGAAACTGAACACATCTCTTTGGCCTTCTGTTTTAAGCCATGTTTCTAGAGAACTCCTCTCTCACTCTACATTAAACCAACTTTCCACATCTCAAGACAGCCTAAAGAGAACAACACAGCAAAGTAACAAAGTTGAGATGCTCTGGGAGGCCATAAAGCAGCATGATGGCCAGTGAAGAGTGCTAATCAGATCATTGTTATATTGATGATATGATATATCAAAATCATGCCTAAATTTATGCATAGTAGTAGGGGGTACTACCATGTTTAAATTTCCAGTATAAAAAAAATTAACGCCGTTACGGTGCAAATGTTTCATCATCTTCTACAGTCTAGAAGATCTTGAAACCATGACTCAGTTTACACATTTTGCCTACTATATGTACAATATGCAGGTGCTTAACAGTTTTCAGTAACCATAACCAGAACAGTCAGACTAGGGAGCATGACAAGCCATGTTTGCCAAGGAATCATGGGAATAGTGTGTGCTTCCGTCCATCACTCAGAGCAAGATCCCACTGAGGGGAGAAACTAATATGCAATGGAAACATCAGAGAAATATGGGAGTAAGGGCAGACATTTTTAATATAGCTGTCTCTTTCAATAGTAATTTGCTTAGGATTTAGCAGAGGTGGATCAGGAAACTCCACAAAACCCCTTAGTTACACATCCAAGTAAATAAAACAAAATACATGAAAAGGAGGAGAAAGTAGGAAACACTGAATGGAAAGGAGATGAAAAAAGACAGGCTGTGACTACTTAGAAAGTTGACGTATAACAGACTTGACTAGGATTGAACCCTGTCAATAAGGTCCTGTTCTTCTCACCCAGGCTGTTGCTCAAACTTTCCAAACACACTGGAACATTTTGAACTAGCAGTGGCATTTGCTTCCTCCCTGCTTCCTTTCCAGGTCCATCAAGTGATAGGGCAGGGCTTCACAATGAGTGGGAAACAGGCAGCAAGTGTGAAAGCTACTGGTTTCTGGCTCTAGCACAGCGCAGCTGATTTACTGCCTGCTAATGGCACACAATGCAGACTCAGGCAGTCCTGCACTATGATACAGTATCACATCTTTCATGTTTACCTTCCTTTTCAGTATAGCAGCTGTCAGTGAGAATGGTAATCAGAATTGCAATTGAAGTGTTCAAGAGTTTGCAGCCTGTAAGGATTGCACGGTTCTAATCTTTTCTTAGTAGTATCAACAAACAAAGAATATAAAGCAACCTCTCTGAAGTGGTTTAAATCTATATTACGAATATAAATTCTATTATTAAAACTACTGATTTCCATTCAGCAAAGACAGAGCTTTCATGGTTCAGGAATCACTAAACAAGGAAAGGAACACAAAGGGAAGTAGGTATTTAGCAAAAATGCCCAATTTTTGTTAGTTAGGGCTCTTCCCTTCAAGTCATGTGCTGGCAACCACATCCATCCCCATTATGCCTCAAAGTAGGAATAGGCCTCCATTTCAAAGAAAGAAAATAGGCTATGAAATGCTGTTAAGCAGGATTATAATGAGAACTGACTCCACACAGACATTCCAAACCATCTTAAATAGTCAACATTTTAACAACAGTGCCTCAGCAGAAATGGTTCCTCATAACACACTGACATATCACTGCTTGAAGAATCACTTCATCATCCTCAGCCAAAGTAGCTTGAAAGCATATACAAAGAATGATACTTAGTTGTCTTCCAATACTCAGCAGTAAATTTCCAACTGCAGCTGTCTTATGTGTCTGTAAAACTCCAGACAAAAGAAAATAGTCACATAAACTAGAGAGAGAACTATAGGATGCAATATTTTATTCTTAATACAGTAGTTAATGTCAAGAATTTCAATAAAATTTGATGTGCTGTCAAAGAAAACCTTTTTCCAACAGAGCAAAGAAATTGAGACATAAAAGAGTTAGAGTCTTGCCACAAACATCTAGAATAAAAAGTATCATGTTTAACTTGATCTATGAGCAGAGAACAGGATCGTTTATACAGAAAAGAATTTATACAGAAAGGAAAACTGGAAATCAGTGGAATTAAATAGCCTGTTTGACAATCCAAGTCTCCTTTATCTTGTGCTGTTCTGTTCTGGGAAATTTCATTTGCACAAATAGGCTAATTTCAGATTTATAGTAGCACATTTAAGGTAAGGCCATATATGAGCAATCCAAGCGCACAGTATCATCCTCCTCTTCCTTTGAGACAACCAGTTCTGATATCCTCCCACATTGCTACTGGACACCAGAACTAAATTACACATCCTACCTGAACATTAGTAAACTAGGGAAGAGGAATCCTCCTTTCTTACAGCTCCTTTCTGCTAAAGAAAGAAGAAAGTATCACATGGATGAACAAACAGGAGAAGACAGACCAGGAGTAAACTGAATGCAGTTCTTATTACAATTCCTCAAATTCTGTGGGAAAGTACACTGAATTTCTTTTTTCAGAAGGAAAGGAAAGAATCAAAAACCTGATAGAAGCTATGCAAGTATATTATAACCATAACACAGAGAAGTCTCTCAGAAGAGTGTAGGAGAAAAGCATAAACAGTTCAGAAGCATCTCCAGAACGAAGTGACATCTCTCATAAACTTACAATTTTAAGACAAAGCCACGCAAAGCACTGCAATCTTGCTGCAAGATGCCTGAAGAAGCCATCCACCAACAGCCCAGCTCTCTACTTTTCTGACACACAGATCCTGATACCACCCAGAACTCCCAAACATGGCTCCAACCCACACGAGGCACAGCCAAAAAACATCACCTGAGCAATACAGCAAGAATGACCATTGTGTTTTCCTCTTGTGTCTTCCCATCTGCAAACACAGTGCCAATAAAGCCTGAAAACATTAAACACAACTGCAGTCAGATGCAGTATTTGAGGGAGGTTTGGCTTTTTGAGTGGGGATATTTTCAAGCTAGATATGTAGGATGAACATCTGTCCTTTTGCTATAGGCTTATTGTTCTGCTTTGTATTTTTATGCAGCTCCTACATGTAATGGATACAGTTTTCAGACATCATTATTCCTTTGGAAAAAAAGTACCATAATTTTCCACATAAACAAGAGACCAAAGTTGGTTCTGTTTATAAAATGCAAACTTGAGAAAACTATTCCCATAGCCTCAGGAGTAGCAGTATAAAGGTGAGCTTATGGTATTTCAAAATATAGATGGAGTAAATTATCAGTGTCATTCATAAGAGTCAAACTCTGAACTGCAAGCTGTAGCTGTGTTCTGAAGTCCAATTTGGGTAGGCTTTCATTAGCTTGTTTGGGGGAAGAAGTAGAGAAGAGATGTACGATAAAGGGATCTGTAACAACACCACCACCAATGCGCTGTCACAATTTTCCTTTATCCTGGTTTAAAAGGATAACGTGCACTTCTGCTAAAAAACACAGAACTGGTTCCACTAGTATCGCTTCACAATAAGGAGTTTCTTCATCAAATTATAAAACCTTTGCATAACTATAGGCTATTTCAGTGTCTTAACTTGGACTGTGGAGGCAGATCCTTTGGAGCAAGAAGCATACACCACTCTAAAGCAACATCGAAATGATTTCAGTAACAGTTACTAACTTCTTTTTTTTTTATGGCATGACATTAACTTTCTTCCAAAAAAAGAAATCCGAAAGAGTAGTACCGTGTGCTGTTATTTCTGCTGAAAAATGCATACTTCTAATCGTTTTCAATGATTTATGGGGGAAACAGGTATTTTGTGCAGCTACTATAAACAGAACACTGCTGCACTTTGTCTCAAGCCTTCAAGGCAGTATTTGAGGCAAAGCATTACAGTGTGCATACAAAAAAAAAAAATGTACCATACTGAAAAAAGGAAGAATTATGAACTCTGAAGTTCTTAACTGATTTATTAAAGCTGCCACCCTACAAATGCAGTAGTTATTTTGCTATATAGATTTGTATTGTGGCCAAAGTAAGAACAGGAAAACAAGTGTCCTTTTGTTCTTGCAGTCCAAAGGTTAAAAAATTTTTGTTTTAAAACATTCCTCACAACTGAAGTTCTTTTTGTGGTGCATTAAATGCAGTACT